TAGAAACGCATGCTTCCACTATCACATTTTCAGTGAGTGAGTGTTCTGGCTATTTCACATCCTAACCAGTGCTCCATGTTGTCTGTCATTTTAATTTCAGCCATTATGTAGATTACATGATTTCCCTGATGACTGAAAAATGTGGATATCCATTTTTATGAAGTGTCCTTTAAAATCAAAATGCAAAACAGATACATCTTGATGGCATTAAGGCTCATGCAGCCTGAACTATTTTTTCTATCATCATTACCACTTCCATTTTGGGTCAAATTGGCCTAGAAATGTAATGCAGTCCTTTGGTATAAATAAATTCCCACCCATCTGTTATTCTCTTTTATCTCCTCAAATGTAGGTTTGTGCATTATTCATTGATAAAATCAAATCAACATAGATACAGTATGTGGTAGCTACAATGTACAATAAAGATTATCCAGTTCAAATCCCTCTTTTGGTGGAGTGGAAAGTGAAGCCAAAAAAGGGAAAATGATGTGTTGAAAGCCACAGTTATGGTGAGTTGAGGGAATATTCCAACACCATATTGTTGTCATTGTTTTTTGAAAGAGTCACACACTTATTAAAAGAGTGAAGAACAGTAGGGTTTTTTTTTTGTATGTGGCTAATTGTACATATACCCTAATGTGTCACCACTGGCTATGCTCATGTTTAGGGAGGCCATTGACTGGGCAGGTGGACGGAACTAAGATGAAGTAACTGACCTGTAATATTGGATTATACGTGGATATTACACATAGACATTGATGATGTCTTACTTGGACATTGTATTTTTCACTAACAATAATGACACAGGCAACTAGAAATGTAAATAGCGTCACTTTGATTCCAGGGTTATTACTAATTCCCAAGAGAAGGAATTCACTTAAAGAAGATTCATTTTCTCCACATATTCTTTATTCTTCTTCTAACATGCTACAGAAATGACCAAGAAAATGTGAAAGTTTTAACATCTCTTGAGATTTAGAAACATATAATCTGTAAATCAGAAAGAATTTATTACAGTACATTATATTTTTGTGCGATTTATTCTCACAAAATAGCCCAGACAAGTTTCATTGTTACGTTGTTGACAAAAGTTAAAGTGCCTGGAACAGAAGTTTGAGTAAGCTTGGCTCTAAATTTGGACATTATCCATGAGGTCTGCGGAGTGTGTGAACCTTCACCACTTTATCTCAGTAATCAGTCATGAACCAAAAGATCACTGCAGGTCAATATGGTATGAAAGCAACACTTAACCTAGAGACAAAGCTGGAATATATACATCATATTCTTGTAAAATAAATACCCATTTGGGCATGAAAATGATTACACTTGCTGAGTTCTTTAAGAATCATGAGTTGTTTAAGACACTGTATTAAATTCAGAAACAATGAACATTTCTCAGATTTAAAAATAATGAACAGTATGATATCACTATTCTTGGTCTACATCTTTTTTAGTATTTTTTGTGACATGAGATACATTTCAATAAATTTTTTTCTAGGGATAAATTGGGAGCTCGAGATTTGCAGATACTAACTAATATACATAAGATAGATAAACAACAAGTTTATACTGTATAGCACGGGTAACTATATTCAGTGCCTTGTAGTAACTTACAGTGAAAAATAAATATGAAAATGAATATATGTATGTTCCTATATGACTGAAGCATTGTGCCGTACACCAGAAATTGACACAGCATTGTAGACTGGCCACACTTCAGTAAATATATATACACATTTTTTCTAGGGATATATAACTGCTTTACCACATAATTATTATTTACATGCCGGACTAGTATTTTCTAGTCCCTTGAAGTATAAAGTTGTCTGATTTTTTCCCATTATGTAAGCATTTCTCACTGTAAACATTCTTCTTAGAGCTGCTTTTGTTCCATCCCCTGATGGTTGGTACGCCATGTTTCTATTTTTATTTGCCTCAAGATAGCTTTTGAATTCTCTTTTGATTTGTTCTCTGACCTATTGGTTAATCAGGGACATGTTGTTTAACCTCCACATATTTGTGAATTTTTCCAGTTTACTCCTCTGTTTTCTAGTTTATTTCACTGTGGTTGGAAAAGGTGCTTGACATGCTTTCAACCTTCTGTGGCATTCCTGAGTGGAAGTCCCGTTGGCTATCAGAGTCAGATGATCTGGGGACACATCCCTCAGGGCAGCCACAAAAGCTGGGGTGCATCTATGTTTACCAGCTCCTTCCAGGGGGTGCCTGGTGAATCGGGGTGGGAAGCCCAAAATAAACTGAATCAGTCAATTCTATTTTTGAAATTTTATTTATAGGGTTTAAAATTTCCTTGCCTTTAGTTCACATCTACTAGATTTCATAACACAGCCAATATGTAGATCAAGTCAGTGTTCAGATGCTGTAACATATAGCGATCAAAAGGAGGAGAGATGTAATCAGATAATATGTTTATATCCTCTAAACCAGCAGCAATCGCTGATCCCCCGTTTTTCTTGGACAACATATTTCCAAAAAAAATTTCCTACCATGTTTCTATCATGTTACCATGTGTAAAGTGAGAAAACAGGGTGCAAGTGAAAACCCCTAAAACCTTTTATTAAAAAAATACTTCATAGATTTTTTTTCCCAATGTGATACCACTATGTGTGAGGTCACAACGTCCCACAAATGCCCCTTTGAAAGCCAGAGAATCTTCTTGGGCTTCAATTCTATTCTGAAATGTTTTTGCACAAAGGCATTTTACAATGACAGCCAGAAAATCTATATGTGGTGGCTTTTAACTTCTATGATTGTAATGACTAATTATACAAGTTTTACATGGTCTTTAAAATATATAGCCATATCCGTGTTGTCTCGGCACGCTGATCCAGTGATTTAAACAGCAGAATCCAGAGCAGAGACACATGAAATAGATAAATATTAAGAATGTATACAGATCAGTGCTCTTTACTCTAGTGTAATACGTATGTCTTTGTAGATCAATATCTTACTAGCCACAACAATTTTATGTTCTTTCTAAAAATTTATAAAGTGTATATATTCAAGCCACATACCATATCTTCAGTTAATTTTTGTTAGTGACTGATGTCTAAACACCTCAAAAATGTTGTCTACTGTTTTCCTCCCTCCCTCCCTTTCTTTCTTCTTTTTCTTTCTATCTCTTTTTCTTTCTTTCCTTCCTTCTTTCTTTCTTTCTTTCTTTCTTTCTTTCTTTCTTTCTTTCTTTCTTTCTTTCTTTTCTTTCTTTCTTTTCTTCTATCTTTCTT